ACCTAAGTATTCGACTGCGTGATCCACAGTGCTGCCCTGCATTTTATGTATTGTAGAAGCCCATGGTAGTATTAAAGGCAACATTCTTCTTTCAGTCGTCCCGTAATTGTACTCAGCTGCAAACTGTATAGCTTTCGGGTGTATAAGATATAATCCGTCTCTTGCGAAATCAATTCGGACGGAAGGAACATCTGTTGCATACATCTGAGTTCGACGAAATTGAGGCCAAACGATTTCGTGGATGTAGCCTATAACGCCATTTACTAATCCCTTTGAAACTTTTGCCCCACAAATATTTCAAGTTCCGCTGGTAAACCCTCAGTTTTGTTGATATCAGCTGGTATTATATTAGCTATATCCACATTGTCTGCATTTCGTGTGGAATGTACCAGCTAATTCTGCGCTATTATTTTGTAAATGCGAGCACCATTACTTCTGTATAAATTCAATAGAGCAGAGTTGTGACACAGGCGAAACAACGATTACTGTGCCGAATTATTCCATTTGTTAAAATCGTGAAATTTAGTGACCTCTATGGGCAGTACGGTTTTCGCGGACAGGCAGTTTTACTCGTGGGATTGTAATTTTATATAGTACAGTGTATTCTACTGGTTGAGCACTTTCATTTGATGCCCATATTGATGGGATTAATAAAACCTACGTTACCCGCAATTTTGTAGCGACCGCCATCTTGAATTTATAATGATAATGAATAAACATAATTGTCATAATTGTATTGTCACCAAAATCCAAAGTGTATATAAAATTTCAGATTAATAGGTTGACAGGAAGACGGTGAAATTTGAGTTACTAAATTTGACCCAAGAATAAATAAAACAAGTAAAAAAGCTGTTAGTTCCGCCGGGCCGAACTTTTAATACCATCCACTATTTGGCACAAATTTGGCAATTTCCAAAAAAAAAAAAAAAAATAAATAAAATCCGTTAAAAATGTACGGTATATGAGGGCTATACGAAGACGTGGACCTACATGGCCCATTTTATGTTTTATGCTGCAGTATCTATTTCGAACTTCAAATACCAAATTTTAAACGATTCCGTTAAATAATGTCGCTAAAATCATCAAAATACCGAATATCGGGGGGTACCGTTATATGGGGGCTATGCGAAGATGTGGACCTGTACAGATAATTTTCTGTCTTAGGTTGTAGTATCCATTACGAACTTCAAACGCCAAATTCGAAACAATTCCGTTAAATAATGTCGCTAAAATCATCAAAATACCGAATATCGGGAGGTACCGTTATATGGGGGCTATATGATAACTTGGAGCTACATGGCCCATTTACGAACTTAACCTGTCTACTGGCAAAATATACATGTGTGCAAAATTTTAGTCTTCTATATCAATTTGTTCGAAAGATAGCGTGATTACAACAGATAGACAGACAGACAGACAGACGGACATGGCTAAATTGTCTTAGAATTTTACACTGATCAAGAATATATATACTTTGATGGGTCTGACATGAGTATTTCGAGGAGTTACAAACGGAATGAAAAAATTAATATACCCTCCATAGTATGGTGGAGGGTATAAAAAACAAGTAAAATAGCTGTAAGTTAGGTCGGGCCAAACCTTGAATACCTTTCACCATTAAATACAAATTTGGCAATTTTCAACAAGTTAAAAAGCACTAAGTTCGGCCGGGCCGAACTTTTAATACCCTCCACCATTTGCAACGAATTTGGAAATTTTTAAAAAATAAAATCGTTAAAAAATTCTGTTAAAATTTTTAAAATACCGAATATAGCCGTCATATTGGGGTCTATACGAAGTGGACATACATAGGCATTGTTTTTCATAAGCCATTACCATATTCAAATTGGAAACTTGAAATAAACGGTAAATAATGTAGCTAAAATCATCAAAATATCGTATATAAGGAGGTGCCGTTAAATTGGAGCTGTGCAAAGACCTGGACCAGCATAGACAGTTTTCTGTCACAGGCTGTAGCATCCATTACGAACTTCAAATACCACATTTCAAACAATTTCGGTGGGTATTGTACCTAAAATCGTCAAAATATCGAATATGGGGAGGTACTGATATATGGGGCCTATACGAAGACCTGGACCCGCACAGACAATTTTCTGTCACAGACTGTAGTATTCAATACGAACTTCAAATACCAATTTTCAAACAATTCCGGTGAATAATGTCGCTAAAATCATCAAAATACCCAATATAGGGAGGTACCGTTATAGGGGGGCTATACGAAGACGTAGACCTGCACAGACAATTTTCTGTCTTAGGGTGTAGTATACATTTTGAGCTTCAAGTACCAAATTTGAAACAATTCCCGTGAATAATGTCGTTAAAATCACCAAAATGCCGAATATCAGAAGGTACCGTTATATGGGGGCTATACGAAGAAATGGACTTGCACAGACAATTTTCTATCTTACACTGTAGTATTCATTACGAACTTCAAATACCAATTTTCAAACAATTCCGGTGAATAATGTCGCTAAAATCATGAAAATACCGAATATAGGGAGGTACTGATATATGGGGCCTATACGAAGACCTGGACCCGCACAGAAAATTTTCTGTCACAGACTGTAGTTCCTATAACGAACTTCAAATACCAAATTTGAAACAATTCCCGTGAATAATGTCGTTAAAATCATCAAAATACCGAATATCGGGGGGTACCGTTATATGGGGGCTATGCGAAACAGCATCAAAGTTTAGAATAAGTAGATTTGTTTGAATTGGTCACCCATGGCATATGTGGGTGTATTCCTTTCAATAATAAAAAAATTTGTTCAAAAATATTCAAATTCGGGTGTATTGAAAATGTCTATTGCGAGGTATGCATCAACAAAATCTGCAGTTTTTGTAGCGAATTAAACATGAAGAGATATATAGATAGATAAGTCAAACGCCATGATTTTTATATTTTTTTAGTTTTATTGAATAAAAGCAAAAATGTCGGAAATAGCATCAAATTTTAGAATAAGTTTAGATTTGTTCGAATTGGTCACCTTTGGCACAAATCATGGCCTTCAAACGGCCAATGAAACCGTCACACGCTGCCCTAATGTTACTCTGCGGTATTTTGGCCCATTCCCGGCAAAGCGCTTGCTTGAGGTCTTTGGTATTTTTTAGTGCCAACCTTGCTTTCCAAAATATTCCAGACACAATAGTCCAACGGATTGGTATCCGGAGATTTTTGTGGCCATTGTGCGCTGGAAATGAAGCGATGAATCTCCTTTTGTAACCACTCTTGGGTGACGCGTGCTGAGTTGGCAAGTAAACACATTTTATTTGTTTACAAACTGCTGGACAACGAATGTTTTCCCATCGGAGAAAACCAAATTCGGCAGTTCTCCACTCTCGCCCAAGCGAAGCAACTCTTTGCTCTTTTGAGTCTATTTTCTTTCTGTTGCAGTGTAAGTTCTTGCACTTTTTGGAATTTCAATGGCTTTACCCCAAGCTAATTTTTCAATATTTGCCTAATGGAATCTTGCGATATGTTCAGCTCACGAGCCAATTTTCGGCAACTGCGACTAGGACTTCGATCAAGCTTCTTCACTTTTCAAACCATTTCTGCTGATGTTGCTCTTTCCTTCCGTCCACTTCCTTGACGTCGGGTTACGCTACGAGTATTACGGTAACGAGCTATGGTACGAGACACAAAATATTTAGTCACATTTAAATGCAGGAGTGCTCTAATGATAGCCAGTTGTGGTTTTCCAGCCAAATATAAAGAAATCACACTATCACGCCTGAATTCCACCACGATTAATTTTTTTTTTTTTGGAAACTCTCAACAAAATGCTATTGTACGGCTGTAAACAATAAAATGAGCAGTCACTGGAATAATTTTAACAGCTGTCGGACGAGTGGCTTATGAATGACAGCAGTCTGAAGTTGGTTGCAGTTTTTTCGTCTCACCCTTAAAAAATTATCTTTATTACTGCTGGTCTACACAAAAAAATCTAAATTTAGAATGTGCGCTTGTCGTGCCAGCTGTCTCTGAATTGTCGAATTGTTGTGATAATTCGATCAAAATAATAGAAAAATTTATTAATTTTGTTGTTGCAAAATGGTCAGGCTTAATCCCTTTATTGTTTTTTTTTTTATAAAAACAATATTTGTTTATTAATGGAGAACGACGGCAATGTTTACAAGGGGGTAAGGCAGGAAATACCTAGTTTTCGGAAAGAGCCACCAATCCTCATCAGTTCCCTAGTTTTTTGTCTGGAATATTCTCCCCAGAAGTTATTTTGAAAATAACTTCTATGACAAAAAACTTTTTTTACCCAAGTGACGAGATTGTAAGCTCAATAGAAGAGGAACCAAAGAATTGCATAAAACTAAAATTCTTTTAGAAAATCTTCTAAATCTTACAACCGCACTTATAAACATTTTCATCTTTCTCCACTTGTTATGCTTTCGTTTTACATAAACGAAGTAGCATAACCATGTAAGTTATGCTCCCTCGTCGACCGTGCCTTGTCTATAAATAGAAAAGTGTTGGCTTGTTTGTTCGGGATACCATAGTATTTTGTTGTTGCAAAATGGTCAGGCTTAATCTCTTTATTGTTGTTTTTATAAAAACAACGTTTGTTTGTTAGGGGGAGAACGATGGTAATGTTTACCAGGGGGTAAGGCAAAATTATAAATTAATTAATTAATAAATTAATAATTAATGGTTAAAAATGGTTAAAGAAGGTTTGTTTTCAAAAATGCCTTTAGAAATACTTTTTGAAGAAGAAAGTGCCGAAGGAATCGTAATTTGTTGAAATATTCAAACGAGAAAATTACTCACTTCTTTACCTTCTAAAAATTGTCTAATTTTTCTTGTTCTAAAGAAAGGAAAGAAAATTTTGTTTTTAGGAGGGGTCTTATTTAACTCCTTTATTTCACACTCACCTTTCATTTTTCGTTTCTTTTTCCCCATCTGTTTACGGACTATTCAAAATACGATGAATCAGTTTTAAATTCCCGAAAACCAAAAAATAACATCGTTTTGAAAGCTCAATAAGAATTTTATTTACAAAATGTTTGTTTTTTATTAATTCCTTGTAACTAAATTCTCTGTATGTTCTAATACAATAAATGTATGCAAGTGTGTGAGTGTGTGTGTGTGGGTATATGATATAAGTAAGTATATGTGTATATTTGTGTATTGACATTATTAATATGGCTAAAATGTATTTTGACTCCAAATGTGTTCGCTTAACTGCATTCGTATTGTGCGAGGACTTGTAAATATAACTTGACCTCGAATTCAATCTGTTTCCTCTTCCATTCATTCTCCTGCATTTATGTCGATCGCTAAACGAGGTTTCATTTATCAAAATAAATTATTAACAAAATAATGGAATAACAATATTTGCTAGACTAAATAAACTTGAATATGTTTGTATGCCATTGTGATACTGGATGTCAGGCGTGTGCGAGTGTGGGTGTGTGTTTGAAAACACATAACAAATTTGACTAGAAAATAAAGCACAGACTCGTTGGAGTCAACATCTCAACAATGTAGATTAAATATTTCAATAAAAACTCATTTCTAACAAATATAACGAATTGATTTAATTTGAAACGTAACAGATACTCAGATTCCGAAACAAATCCAGATTCGCTGCTTAATCTCGAATGCATGTTGCTTGATCAGTTTACATAAATGAATTTATAAAATACCATATGTAGGGTATTGCACTGGGTTGTCCATGGGCTACGGTGAGATGGAAGGAAATACATGAGTGAAGGTGTGGGAGTGTGAACATGATTGTAAGTACTTGTGTCTGAAAATAGTAATGAAAACTGAAATTAGAAGTACTCAAAAGGATGCATGGATGGATGGGTTGATGAACTTAAAGTCGATGTGAATGCTAAATCTAACGTCCATGGGTCAAGACTTCACATTGATGTTTCACTGGAAAAATCGTACAAGGTATTGCAGTCATCTCCAATACCCTAACTCTCTCTTTCTCTAATGGAGAATTTATTCTCAATCGAAAATACACGCAAACACTGCCAGACAGTTCAGACCAAAGTTCTCCCAGCATCCCTCTTCGGTGACACCCTTTTCAGCTCGTCTCATCTTTTTCGGATAGTTTTTCGGATTGCTGCGATCGCTCAGATGTATCGGCATTTTGGCAAACTCTGGTCGTGCCGTTCGAAACTTGTCCATTAATTGACTTTGTTCGGGTGTTAAATTCTTCAGTTTTTTACCTAAATGAAATAGAAGTACAACAAATATTGTCGATTATAATTACGAAGGAATCTCTTTAGAGATATCACAAAATCATTTTATATTTTTATACCCTCCACCATGATCCTCGAAATACCAATGTTAGACCCAGCAAAGTATATATATTCTTGATCAGCATATTATTCTATGTCAATTTAGCGATGTCCGTCTGTTGTAATCACGCTATCTTTGTGAGTAGGAAGTTTACAAATGGACCATGTCGGTCCACGTTTTCGTAACGTTACCTCCCGATATTCCGTATTTTTACGATTTAGATTTCATTTTCTAACAGAGTTGTTTACAATTCAGTACTTAGGGTTCCGCATCCTGTGGTAGATCGTTGCCTACATAAACTCACATTTTGTCCATGATTCAGTATTTGGCTTATTTGGTATTCTTATGATTTTAGCCACATTTTGCAAGGGAATTCAAAAATTTGGCTTGTAGAGTTTGTAATAGGATCTGTCTTCTATGATAGAAGTCTGCTGGAATAGGCTCATTACTTATTTTATCACTCGTAGAGCGGTACCTCCGAATATTTGGTATTTTGGTGATTTTAGCCACATTTTTAGCAGATTTTTCTAATTTGGTATTTGACACTCACAACAAATTTAACAGAAAACCGATACTATAGACTCGCCATTTGAAACACTTTTTTACCAACCGATTTCACTAGCAAACAAGTAAAAAAGTAGTTAGTCGACCGGGCCGAACTTTGCGTACCCTCCACCACTTGGTAGGAAGTTGGAAATTAAAAAAATACGTTGAAAAATACTGTCAAAATCATAAAAATACTGAATATAGGGAGTTACCGTTATATTAGGTTCTAAACGAAGAAGTGGATCTGTATAAGTAAATTTTGTCATAGGTCATTACAATATTCGAATACGAAAATTGAAACAATTCTGTTGAATACTGCCGCTAAAATCAACAAAATACCGCATATGGGGAGGTACTGTTATATGGGGGCTGTACAAATACTTGGACCTGCAGAATTAATTTCAAATTTAAAGAATTACGGTGAAAAATGTCTCTAAAATCATCAAAATACCAAATAAAGGGAGGTAACATTATATGGGGGATATACGAAGACCGTGACCTGCATAGGCAATTTTTCGTTACAGGCTGTTGTATCCGTTACGAACAGCAAGTATGAAATTTGAAACGATTCCGGTGAATAATATCCCAAAAATAATCAAAATACGGCTTTGGAGGAGGTACCGTTATATGTGGACAGTACCAAAACGTAAACCTTTGTTCTGCAGAACAAACAAACATCTGTGCAAAATTATAACAACTTGCTTCAATTCGTTGGGAAGCTAGGTTGATTTCCACAGACGAACAGACATTGCTAAATCGACATATAAGTTTATGCTGATCAAGAATAAGTGGGGTCTAAAATGTATATTTTGAGGTGTTACAAACGGAATGACAAACTTAATGTACGCTCTAGTATGAAGTAACCGATTTTAGACTTTTAAAATACCTTCAATGGCGTCACTAACTAAGGACGTCTCTAGGGGATTCAATAGTTCCACACGGTCACACGCTTTACGAAACTCAGCAGCTGTCATCAGACAGTAACGTGGCGTCAAACAGAGTGGCCCCAGAACACGACGACGATTTTCCGCTGTCGCATCGATTTTTTTACGGCTACACTCCGCTATGCTCCAGTCGGCTAGGCAGGTGAAAAGTGTCAGTTCTGTGCTCAGTTGCAAGGCTTCGCGTTTCGCAATCATTTCCAACTCCTCAAAACGCAATTCACTCATTTCCGGTTTGCTGAGTATCAGTTCCGCATGCATGTCAATGAGTTGCAGTGCGTTGTGCAGCAAGGCAACTCCGTAGTCTTCGGTTGTGAAGGGATTCGGGTTTGGGGCGGGTATCTGTGTTGAGTTTGTGCTCGGAGCGGAATTTGGATTGGCACTTGTTGAATTCATAACGGCTTGCTGGTGGGCCTTGCGTTTGCTCTTCTTCGAGGCCAACTCCTGTGTCGTTATAACCGAGCCGATCTGATGGGGATTGGTCGGCGTGATGCCCTGGTAGAACCACAGAGCCCGAAACACATCGATCACCGTTGCACTGCTCAGCTGCAGATCCAATTCTCGAATGCAGTGTATAATCTGATATTCACGAATCAGTGGGAAGACGAAACAGAATCAGCGGAAAATGGGAGAGGGAGAGAAAGAGAAGAATAAACTGAATAATTTCTAGTGGGTAGCGACAAGCAAATCTCATCATTTGAAATGGAACATACCAAATCGGGACAATTGTATCGGTCAGCCAATTCAAGGATTTTCAATATATGCAAATGATCACGATATTTGACAAATTTTGTTTCCAAAAATCGTATGACAAGTTCGAAATCATGTTTATCTACATTTGAGATCTGAAAATGATTATCACCTTTGCGTCCGCTGTTGGGGCCGGCATGGATCAGTTTGGCCAGCTCCACGCTATTCTCCAGTACGGCTTTTCGTTCGCACCGTATCATATAGCGATCGTCGCCGTTGACAATTATGAAGTCAATGTAGGGACACGGAATTACGGGTACACCGGTCGACACATTTGTGTGCGCCCGCCCAAAGTAGGGTGGCGCCGTGGGTGCATAGGCCACTGTTCGGTTAGTATTGCTAGTTGCAGTATTGCTGCTGCTATCACCGCCGCCACCACCGGCCGTACTAGTGGCCGCCTTGTTCTTGCCGTCTGCACTGCCATCCGGATTATGGTGTCCATCCGAACCTAGGCCGAATGGCAGGACCATTTTCTTATCTTTAGAGTCGGTGGACTGAGCTTTTGAACTCTGGAACTCAGACTTTGAAGTCTTTGAGGAAATTGCTTTCAGTAGTGTTTGAACCGGGATTCAGCAATGTATCGTCATCGAAGGCAGTGTTAATCGTTGGAGTCTGAAATGAAAGAAAAAAAAAACGAATATTTATTAAAATGCTTGAAAAAAACACTGCACACATTCCACCTGTAATTCAAATAAGTAAAAAAGAAGTTAAATTCGGCCGGGCTGTAGTACCCATTACGAACTTTAAATACAAAATTTTAAATAATTCCGGTGAATAATGTCGCTAATATCATTAAAATACCGAATATGGGGGGTTATAATTAATGGGGGCTATTCGATATCGTGGACCATCTTCGAACTTGATTTGCCTGTAGACAAAAGTATGATCGTTTGAACTCTAACGTTATTACAACAGACGGGCGGACGGACGGACGGATGAGGCTTAAATCGTATTAGAATTTTACGCTGATCAAGAATATATATACTTTGTTTGGTCGACGAAGTCAATGTACCCTCTATACTAGGTATGGTAGGGATATTTTTTGAAGGAAAGAAGAAAACTAACGAATTAATAAATATAGCGCACAATCCACAAAATAAACAAAATTCAATGTATCAAAAATAATTTGGCCGGATATCTCCTTGTGAAGAACTCAGTCGCTGCTAAATACGGGAAAATCCACGTTGCCGATAAAAAACTGCATACTGTGTAAGAATGATTGGGGCAGCATATGTCCCTCGCTCTCTCGTGAAAGACTATGATTTGTGGCGACCACTCACTTCACAGTCTCTTGCTTATTCAACCATATTGTGATTAAACGTTCTCAAAGCAACCGAGATCCAGCAGCTTCTGCATTAAATTGAATTTTCAATCCATGTTGGTAATTTTCGTGTTGGAATTCCAGCGTGATAGTGTGATTTCTTTATATTTGGCAGGAAACCCACAAGTGACTATCGTTAGAGCCCTCCAGCATTTAAATGTGAATAAATCTTTTATGTCACGTTCCATCGCTCGTTACCGTGATATTGGTAGCCTAGCCCGACGTCAAGGAAGTGGACGGAAGAAAACAGCAACATGAACAGAAATGGTTCGACAAGTAAAGAAGCGACTTGATCGAAAACCGCGTTGCAGTGGCCGAAAAATAGCTCGTGAGCCATTCCATTCAGCAAATATTGAAAACTGAGCTCGGGGTAAAGCCATCGAAATTCCAAAAAAGTACAAGAGCCTACACCGCAACTGAGAAAAATAGACTCAAAAGAGTTAAAGAGTTACTTCTCTTGGCCGAAAGTGGTGAACTGCCGAATTTGGTTTTCTCCGATGAGAAAACATTCGTTGTCCAGCAGTTTGTAAAAACAAAATGATCGTGTTTACTTGCCAAAGAGGTCAGATTAAAATGTGCACCTTTGGTTGGCCACCAGAACTCAAGCGCCGGCCACGGTGTGGTGTGGACCGCCATAACAGCCGATGGTCGCTCTCCGCTCGTATTAATCGACCGTGGCATCAGAATAAATGACGTGAAAATATTCTGGAGGGTGTATTAAAGCCTTGGATACGCATTTTGCCCACAGACCTTGGATATTCCAACAGGACTCAGCACAATCGCACTCAGCACGCAAAATGAGGGGACCCATTCGAACAAATCTAAACTTATTCTAAAATTTGTGGTAAGGGTATTTTGTATTTGTTTCTTAAATGGAGAAGGAGGAAAGACCCATACCTACTTTTGAGGATCTTTTTAGAATCACTTTCTTTGACCATTTATGTATGTCAGTCCATCCGTCTGTCCATGTATTCTTGTGAACAAAATGCAGGTCGCATTTATTATCCGATTGAAATGAAATTTAATTTATCTTCAACCGATTTCGGGTTAATTGGGCACCAAATGGCCTGAATTTTGGCAAATGGCATGCATTTTTGCACATGCGACCGAATTTAGTCTAGAAGCAGGTACATCAAATATGGTGACAATCGGTTCAGATATAGCTTTAGTTTCCATATATAGGTTTCATCCGATTTGGGGCTTTAAGTCCCTCACATTCGTAGTATACACTTCACGAGAATGATATTTGGTGTAACATATCTTATAGAGCTCAGAAAAATATTTACCAAATTTATCTAGATCCCATATATATCCTTAATCCGATATCAGGTTTATTATGCAAATAATGACTAATATCAGCCCTAATGGAGTGATTTTCGGGACGTACGTTTATATTAGATGAAACTCGGCTCCGACATATATTTATTTTAATGTAATCGTTCACGAGTGATGAAAGATAAAAATGTCTCAGTCAAATTTAGTGACAATCGATTCGGAATTGGATATGCCTCCCATATATTAGTTCCCTCTGAAACCATGTTATAACTGCTCTAAAGCCAAATGTTGATAGGTGGGGTGATCTACTACAAATAAATTCTTTTGTTACGGGGGCTCTACTAAATATGCATGGTGGTGTAGGGTATCATATAGTCGGCCCCGGCCGACTTTTGACTCTTCTTTACTGGTGTATTTTTATGTATTCCTTATTATCCACCATTCTCGTAAGAATTCTGATAGTTTGCATGTTTTCCAGTTAATGTTACCCTACATCTTTGCTTTTTGAAAAACGTATTTTAAAACAGATATCTGAAATATATTATTGAACAAAATTTTATAATAATTCAATGTTTTCAATTGCTGAAATTATCGCATCATTTGAAACAAAGGGTTTAACATTGGAAAATCCATCAGCTTCTTTAAGTAACCCATACAGGTTGTCGCATCGACACAGCTGCTGAGACAATGAACTGTCAAACTGATTTTGGAATTGAAAATATTGAATGAAAAATTAGTAAAATCTTGTAAAAATTGTTGAAAAATTCATATTATAACAACCTCCGATTTGCGTCGTAGAAGAAAAGAAATAAAAATCTACTTATTTTTGACAGAACATTTTAAAATTTTCATATATCAATGTTCCAAAGCGTTAAAGCATCCACCTGTATTCTTCTACTGTGGATGAACCTAAAGGAATTATTTACAACACAAGTGGTAATATTGGAACGGATTTGGAAGAAAAATCCTAAAAAAGACGAAGACGATTTTAAAGTACAGGAATTCCAAATCATAACACAAAAAAATATTATAAACAGTGTATATTTTGCGTTATTAACACCCCGTGATGTGGTATTTTCTAGAACGCATTATAATTTCCGGTTAAAGGCATTTTCTGAATTACAGTTGTGTTAAGTGTTCAGAATGCATATGTTATTGGACGCTCTTGATACGCCAATGCAATGCATGGTTCATTCACACCCCGACAAAGTTTGGTGCCTGCAGAATTCCGTTGCTTCAATAAATTCAGACACGATAGTCGACATAGCCATTCATATGACGACTACCAACTCGTAGGCATTGCAAAGTAATCGTTGCATGAAATCCACTTAACTTGGCCTTAACTTTGCTACCTTGCTGCCACAAACCAAAAAAAAACTAACATTGAAACACAAAGTTGAATTTGTGCAATTAATAAGTTGCCTTCAATTGAGGCAACATAAATGTAATTGATTGGTACTGACCGACTGGAGGGGGTCTGAACTAACGATCGCAGTTTAATCATGGCGAAGGTTCATACTTCAGATAATTTAAATCTTTATGTAAGAGTTTATGAATGTCTTTAATATTTATTTCCGGGTGATATGGTTCCAAAGATATCTATAAGTTATGATAGTATCACGAGGGCAGTTCGGAAACTTCTTAGCCTAGCACAAAAAGCGCGGCATAAAGAGAAAAAAGTTAAGTGTTGTGGAAACTTCCATCTCTGTTATGAATACATGTTAAATTTTGTTTCGATCTGGCAACTCCTTCATATAGAAATAGTTGTTCAAAAAACGCGTCCGCATTTTTACACCAAAAAATTAGAAATGTGTACTGTCGTTAAATATTTCCATAAAAAAGGTTTATCGGGACAAGAAATTCATAATGATATGGTGAATGTGTTAGGTGAAAGTGCTTCTTCATATGCAAGAGTAACAAATTGGGTTGCTGAATTTAAAGGTGGTCGTACAAGCATTGAAGGTGAAACGAAAACAGCAACAACAACATAAATTGTAGCCAAAGTGCATGATATGGTATTAAATGATCGATGAATGAAAGTGCCTTAAATTGCAAATATCATGAGCATCGCAAATGATCGAGTCCATTTAATTTTGCATGAAGAACTACAGATGAAAAAGCTTTCCGCAAGATGGGTGCCGTATTTGTTACCAGTCGACCAAAGCCGCATAAGAATGAACATTTCTCAAGATTGTTTGGATCGTTTTAAGCGAAATAAAATGGATTTTAAGCGTTGTTTCATAACTGTTGATGGGACACGGATCCTCCACTATACTCCAGAGACAAAAGAACAATCTACACAATGAACTGAAACTGGAGGAAGTGCCCCAAAGAGGTCAAAAACAATTCAATCGGCTGGTAAGGTTATGACAACGGTTTTTTTTGAGACTTCAAAGGTATTTTACCGACTGACTATCTGCAAAAGGGTAAAAGAATAAATTCAGAGAACTATGGCAACCATTTGGATCAATTAAATGCATAAATTCGTCCTGGCTTACAACACAACATTTTTTGTTTCATCAAGACAACGCACCAAGAGTGTTTTAACAATGGCTAAAATTAACGAATTATAGTACGACTGGGAGCTAAATCAGGAGAATAAGGTGGGTGGTCAAGCACCCACCTTATTCTCCTGATTTAGCTCCCAGTGACTATTACTTGTTTCCAAATCTAACAAGTAAAAAAGCTGTAAGTTCGGCCGGGTACGAACTTTAAATACCCTCCACCATTTGGTACAAATTTGGCAATTTCCAAAAAAAACAAATAAAATCCGTTTAAAATTCTGTTAAAATCTTAAAAATACCGAATGCCTATACGACGACGTGAACCTGCATAGGCAACTTTTGTCATAAGTTATTACAATATTTAAATGCGAAACTTGAAGAAAAATCTTTTTATAATGTAGCTAAAATCATCAAAATACCGAATATAGGGGGTACCGTTATATGGGGGCTATACGAAGGCGTGGACCTACTTGGGTCACTTTTTGACTTTGGATGTAGTATCCATTACGAAC